TTTTTTTTTTTTTTAAAATTTTCACAAATTAAAAAAAAAAAAAAACTTTCTGAGCAAAAACTGATGACACTTGGAATTGCAATTCATGCACAAATGTATCCCCGAAGCATTGACTCACATCTTTTGAGCAACGAACTCAAAGTTCGATAAATCGAAACTAGAAGAATCTTATCTAAGCAATAAAGCTAACATCTTGATGCCAAATCGATAGTTTCAGGATCCTCAATTATTTAGGAGGAACAAAAAAATATAGGAGTGAGGACAATATCCAAATGAAATAGTGTTAGTATCTTTTGATAGAAAATACAATAGATGAAACCTTAAATAAATAAATAAATAAATAAAAGAAAAAAAAACTCATTAGACCCTCTACACAACTGACAACTAGATCCCTTGTTGAGGGGAAAAATTACAACTTTCCAGATGTACATAGATTTCAATGCTAAACCAATTCATCAATCAATTGCCATTAACAAGAGTCAAATCTCATTTCTCTAACATAACAAATATAATTTAAAGAAAGAAAAATTACCCTGAATACGAGTAAAAAATTGACGACACTTTGATATCATACCAATCCTTCTTTGCAAATGGATCAAGTCTAGACATATACAAACACATAAATATAAGCATAAAAATTTCAAAAACTCAAGAAAAAACATGTATGAATGAAAACTTAACTCAGAAAATAATTAAAAGTGCTCATGCTTTCTTCTTCCCTCTCGTCGATGTCTAACTCTGACATTATGTGCTTCATCAAAATTTCACCGAGTTCGGATAACGAGATTTTGTGATCTCCATTGGTATTGAATTTCTGGAATACTTGTTCAACTTCTCCGCCGATTTCAAAGGTTTGGGGATTTTTAACGTATTAATTACGATGGTGTAAGGATGTTAATTAGCCTTAAGGGTATTATTCTAATTTGTGATATTTGGAGGGTAGTGGGCCTAATTTTCCCAATAATTATTGGGGAAGAATTCACAAATCAGGTTTTAAGTTTCACCCATTCAAAAATTAGGCATTAAGTTTAAAAAGTGCAAAATTCAGGTATTTAGTTAATTAATTAAAAATATTTATTAATTAGGTCACAATTATACAATTAATGGTCACATATACATAATTATCGGTCACAATTTATTTATAGGTCATATATTATCAAATAAATTAGTCAATGATGATTTCGAAGTTACAAATTCAAAAAATTATAGGTCACAATTAATTTCATTGGTCAAATATTTTCAAAATTGTTGATCACAGATTATTTTTCAATCTCATATTGTCAATTTTTTAGGTTCCAGTTAAATACTCGGTCACATATAACCAAATAATTGGTCACATACCACTATCACTACCACTTTAGCCACTTTTGACAACCCTCACCCCATCGTCGCCATCACCACCACGGCCTCACGACATACAAACACCACCATCGTAACAACTACCACCACCACATAAAACACCACCACTGCCGCTGGATGACTATCAACACCACTACCAACCACGCTGCTGTGCACAAAACACCACCACGTTGCCGTTCACTACGGCAGTTTCGCGATGCTGTTGCAGCAGCAGCGTCGACTATGCGGCGTGAACGGCAGTGTCGTGACGTTTTCGCGAACTGAGCATCGTCATTGCGACGCTGCCGACAGCAGCTTCGAACGCAGAGAGTAGCGACGAAGAGAGGGGTAGGGAAAAGAGGGAGAAGGGAATATGATGGAGGGGAGAGAGAGAGAGGGATGAGAGATAGATTAGATTATGAATTAGAGTTTTAATATAGTATCTGATTTTTGAATAAATAAATTGTAGATCTTATTTTTAAGAACCAATTTTTAAACACCTAATTTTTTGTAATTTCCCTAATTATTATGCACGAGGCCCGACCCACTTTGTTATTTAACGTAATTCTTGTTTCACCTATAGATATTATTCACTCGGCCCCTTTGCGAGATATTACAACACAAACACATGGATTCCTTTCTCCCCTTTGAGAGAAAATGCGGCTGCCTCTTTGTGAGCTTAGTTCTTCGACCTCCAACAGCCTTATCCGATCTATGTGTGACAGACGCTTCCTCTCCCGGCCTTGAGTTTGGTCTCTGGCCTCTTTTGTGACTCCAGCTGTGCCCTGTTCGTGCCCCTTGTTCAGCAGTCTCGCACCCTGTTTGCGAGACCTCATTTTGGGTGATGCCTTCGTGGTTGTGGCACGAGATTCTTTGGGATAGTCTGGTCACTGGTGTTGGAGTTTCCTTGTGGTTTGAGTTTGATCTGAGCACTGTACAATCCAGTATTTGTGCCAATTCCATTATTGTAAGGAAAGATGATTTCTTGCTTTGATTTATAGTGTTCATTCTCTAATTATCAATTGATATTCTTTTTATTATTTTAAATCAAACTAAGATTACAATAGTCATTTTGTTCGAAATCTGACGTTTTAACTGTCCAACCAACCATTTTTGTCACAAAAGGACTTGAAGTATGAAAGATTTGAAACTCCGAAGGTTAGAAATCGAAGAATCAGGATCACATTGTTGCAATCTTCAAAGGTTTGGGATCCCATGTACAAATTATCCTTTTCTTCTGGGTTCAATCAAAAGATTTGCCAACTCAACTAACGTGTGAAGCATTTGTCGAATAAGATCACTGGACCGCAACTCAAATGAATTGATGGGGCTTGCACAAACAGTAGAGCATGTGCTTTAATTTCATATAACATGGAAAACCTTATCATACTTGACAAATGAACAAAATAATTTTCCCTCAACGGATGGTACCGACTTTTATCAAGTCTTTGCTTACAACGAAGCCTAGAATCGTTCCGGATATTAAAGATATATATAATAATATTATAATATTTAATAAGACATTTTTCCAATCTTAAGTTAGCTCATCAACCTTCACGTTAATTAGTTTACATTGGAATTTTGCAACAAATTGTTCAAGCCTTCGAGAATTTCCCAGCCAAAAAGGTGATGTACAGAAAAAAGAAAAGGAAAACACAATCAGAATTGGAATCAAAACAGAAACAAACAAAAAAATAAAATAAAAGCATCAACAGTTGCTCACACATGTATAAATGATTTGACTTTCCCAGGAAAATCATGAGAGGGAGCTGAAGAACAAGTTCATGCAAAGATTTGATTAACTGATTGCTGCTGTGCAACAAATGCAGGTAGTGAAAATGGAAGATTTAGGCCTGCGCTTCACATTTCCCTTTGGAGAAGTTGATTCCAGTGCCTGCAAATCCTTATCTCCCTTCTTATCCACACAATTGTTTTCTTCTTTTTCTTCTGTATACATTGCAATAGCCCTTTTTTCTTTATTGATCGCGTTCAGAAATGCAGATCCGGAATTTTCTGAATTGCTTCTTTCCATTAATCTTATGTTTTTCTCTTCCACTTCCACATCCTCGTCAGACTGTAATGATGTTCTAATCAGAGTCGCACAGCTTGAAAAGCTTCGAATTGCAGTCTTGTCCTGATATAGTAATGGAGTTTGATCAGATTCTTCGGACCTAACATCGAATGAAACACCAAAGTCAAAACTTGGGGACTTTCTGAGCTCCAATGAATCGCCTACACCTCCTTGTGGTGGAATATAACTAGTCTCAACACTTTGTGCAAGTTCATTTTCTCGATTCGTAGTATTATCCAGTGAATGCTCTGTTGGTATTTCATTGATTGCATAGCTGACATTTGCAATAGAGCATTCACGAACTAATTGTTCACAGCCATTATATTCTTGCATGTCTTCTACGTCTACCCTGTTATCAGTTTCGTGGCCATTTTCTTCATCTCCCGGAACTTCCTTTTTGAGTATACCTTCATTTGTAGCCTCTTCGTCTCCATTTTCCTTACAGGTGGCGATGCATTTTTTGGTTGGACCTAATTCAGTTCCCACCAACATATGCATAACTTCACTGGTTTCGTTCAAGTGTCTCTTCGGAATGGATTCCGTCCAGACAATTTCATCACGATTGTCTGTCTCCTCACCATGATCAACTTTCTCTGGTCTAGAACTGGAATTAATCCCAACTGCATGTTCCTCCTCATCTTCTTTACTCTCGGATTCAATCCTCGTCTCAGATTGATCTGCATTGGGATTCACCAACTGATTGATTTCTTTATCCAAAGGCTGAGTTCGTTCGCCATAGTAGCTCATGTTCTCTCCAATGCCTAATTCACTCACCGTTGGTGTCATCTCTTCAGGAATGACCAAATACGCATTTGGTGGTTCAGAAATTGATGCAGGATTTTCGTTTCGAGTACTTGTGTCCAATATAGCATCCTCAAGCGAAGCCATTTCATTCACCTCGAAGCCATTTTTCTCTACGTTAAGATTTGGTACAATGTTGGTGTCAATCAAATGGCATTTCTCCTCAACATGGCATGATGTACTCACTTCCCTAGTTTCTTTACTCTCTTTTGATAATAAATCCTCGTTTTCTTCTTGTGATTCATCGGGAATATTAATATGCTCCAGTGGCTCAGAATTTAAATTAAATTTTGAGTCCAAACATGACTCCCCTTCCTCTACCTCGCCTGTCGAAGTTTGAAAGAATTAATTAGTTCTTGGCTAGGAACTGTATCAGCACAACTTGCATCAAACAGGTGCTAAATAATACTATATGCAGTTTTCATGATCACGATGTACGTGAAATTATTGCAATTAACCTTTTGAAGGGGATAATTGGTCATGAAATTTCGATGAATCTGTCTGTGCATCATTATCCTCGCTTGCTGTGCCATTTGCTTCCTCTGAAACCTCTTGAAATCCTGGAGGAGGGTTAAGTTCTGCACCATTGTTCTCAATACCTGAAAGCCAAATGTATTAAATGGGGATTGAATTAACTAAAGATTATGAATTGAGTTGATATAGCATGTATTTTAGAGACGAAATCATAATTTATATTGGTTTAGCCCCATTTTAAAGTTAAAATGAGTTTGTAATAGTTTTTTTTTTTTTTTTGGAAAATGTGTGGTTAAAAAGAAGGGAAATTTTTGAATTTACATATAAAATATTTTTTTTGAAAGTATGTGTGCTTGAAATTAAATTTGAAGAAAAATAAGATTTTGGATGATGCAGCTCAAACAAGGGTAGATTAGCCCAAGTTTTCTTCCAAGCGATGGATATTAAGTTGAAACTAATGCGCGACATCAAATATATACTGTTGGGCCAACAAATCCTACTATTCCTTTGTAAACTGAAATTTGATAGAAGGAATACTTGTATTTTCGAACCAATTAAGAATTTATGATTCCTAAATTTATCTATCTGCTTATAAAATTATCATTTGTTTCACCCACACCTTGATTGGTACAAGAACCGTTTTGGTGATAAATCGTCAGATTTTTTGTCGTTTACAAAAGCTAGAAATTGTTGAATGGCTTATTAGCACAAAACGTTCCTACATTTGTCTCTTAGTATGTAAAGCGTCCTTACGTTTCAAAATTTTTTATCCCCACCCCTACCAAGAACTGAAAAAAAATACTTTTGGGTTCTTCAAATTCCAAAAAATTTTGGGGCTAATTTTCTAGTTCTGGAAAATAGTTTGTCTTCAAGGGATGTGGAGAACGATGGTTATGGAGGTTGGTCCAATTGTAAGCATGGCGAAGGCGACAGTTTAGTGGTTGCAAGAAATTTACGGCCTTTTAACCTTTTTCTCCTTGCAATACCGATAGCATCGCCACATCTACTGCCTTCAAATCCTCAGGTAATTAAATCACTCGTTCTTTGTTCTTCCTGTATAAATCAAAAGTTGATTTTGCTTTCTTGCGTGAGCCCAAGTGGGAATGAATTGGCTGCAAATAAGGGGTATCCTTTTACATATGCTAAAAGGAAGAAACTTGAAAGACAAGTCACGATCTATAGGGCTTATTAGCACAAAATGTTCATACGTTTGACATTTAGTGTGCAAAACATCTTTACGTTTCAAATTTTTGCATTTTCACCTCTGTGCTTGCTGATCTTCACTTTCCCGCACCACCAAACCCTTCAATTTCCTCATTTTCTTCGACGATTTCTTCTTTTTACACTTTTGGTACTTGATTAAATGTGGATTTTAAAAAGATGTTTCTTGGTATTGGTGTTTGAGTGCGATGACTAGTCATGTAGAAAGGTGCAAGCGAACAAATGGCAAGAAATGAAGGTTCTCAAGAGATGTAGTGCCCCATCACAAGTACTGTGAGTGCCACCTACAAAAAAAGTCATCCCGTTCAAGAAAGTTTGTGGAAGTTAAGAACAATGCCACTAGCAATAACGGGAAGAAAATCCTTCTTTTGTTTAATCATAAAATCGATCTATGTATTTCTACATCCTCTAGTAGGAAACATGAGAGATTGATCTTTAATATATCTACATCCTCTAGTATTTTTCCAATCTATTTTCTGGTTTCGTTTTGTGGTGAGGATGAGGGTGAGGGATGGGGATGGGGATGGGGATGGGGATGGGGATGGGAGTATGTGAAAGAGTGAGAGGGAGATGGAGAAGAAGAACACTTTTCTTTTCATTTTTGATTTTTTAATTTAACTTATTTGAGATTTATTTGTACTTTTTTTTTTTTAAAAAAAAAGGGAGTATGATTGCAATTTATTATTATTTTTTCTTTTACTTTTGTTTTATTTAAATAAGAGTGTATATTTGTTATTTACAATTTTTAATTGAGAAATTTGATAAAAATGTCATTTTCCACAATGAAACATTGAAATGAGGATGGAAATGAAAAAATTTTTTTTTTAACTTGAGAACGTTTTGCATACTAAGAGCCAAACGTAGTGATGTTTTGTGATAATAAACCTTGTCGAGATCACTGAAAATAGGTGGACCCATCCAAAACAATTTGTATGGACAAAAGCCGTACAATTTTTTCATAGATTGAAGAGGTAAAAGATTTGAATTATGAAATCTATAAGAAACAATTATGCACATTATTGAACTATACTGTATTTAAAAACGAGAAAATAGAGGTCAAAAATGGAAAGATGGCATAAAAACCCATGCAACCAGTCTGAAGATTGAACCGGCTGGATTATATACTAAACCAGATTGGTCATATTAACGAAATTGTTTCCAACTAAGAACACATGGCACTGACCGATGTTGATAAATTGGTGCCTGGACGACGTGTTTTTTGACTGAACGTCATGTGGACAACATTTCTAATCTTGTCGACACATGTCATCTACCTCCATGACATGTATCCTAGAGTTGTATGATATGTATATACACAAGTCCTAGTCAACCAACATCTGTTCCTAAGTATACACATGTCATTTGAGTCAAGGCTACCCGTGCAAAGGAAAATTTGTACAAGGTGAACATGTGTTAGATGAGTATGATAAATCACGATGCTGAAGTGCAAGACAGGATTGGACAATAGGTGACGTGACTAAGAAGAACCATGTTGCTGACTAGGACGGCATGTAACATTGACTAGTACACGTGGCATGACTTAGAAGACAAGTGGTACTAACTTGGACGAAACATTTTCTTGACTAGAACGACGGATGGTGCTGACTTGGATAATAGGAGATGATGAAAATTTTGAGTAGCACTGACTAAAATAAAAATTTGCCAACTAGGCAAACATATGTTGGTAACTAGGTCGACAGGTGTTCACTGTGCAATTAGGAGCTTGAGGACGCATGAATGGTGGTGGTTTATATGGGGGCACATTCTTCATACAGAAAATTGAGCTAGCATGTAGAGGCGTGTTTGGTGCAAAATCTAGTTTTTCTAGTGCCATTAGACTTGATGCTTAACATAGAGTGGATATTTGGCCTTAGAATAATGAAACAAACTACTGAGGAAGATGAGACAAAGTTCTTAGTAGTTTTATTCAAAAAAAGAAAAAGAGAAAAAAAAAAGAGATAGTATATTTCCAACAATGTTATGGTCAATTATGTTAGGTTTTTAAAGTTATTGACAATCTTTAGACAAAATTATAGTTTTAAAAGAGTTTTAAAAGTCAAAGAGTCAATTGGGAGGTTGTATAGATCAACTAGAAGTCCTTGGATTCAAATATGAAAAGGGAGAAAGAGTTGTCGCAACTATACTAGCATGTCTCCAAGCTGATGCTTGAGTGCTTAAATCAGTTAAGCTGATACTCGAGCGCAGGTGTTATTTGGGGAACTCTAGTTTACATTTTTCAAAAGTTATATTTATTTTATACAACCAAAAACCTCTAAACTAAATTCCCAAACCCCATTTCATGAAAAGGTTGGTTAAACATATTTCTGCATGAGATTACATTCTTTCAAGATCTTACATCAATTCGTAATTTCTCTTGATTTAACCAAATAGAGAAAACATCAAATCCATAGTATCAAAACACCAAAACCACCCACTTCCATATAATCTGCCAAATTTCTAAAGATCGAGAAAGGTGATTAGAGTTCCAGTTGGAGAAGAACAAGTTCTTGATGATCCATAGGAGATAGATGATTCCAGAAGACAAGAGCTATGCAAGAGTACATCAATTATTGGTGTTATTTACTTTAAGCAAATCAAAAACTGTGACAATTCAACATATGTTAGATTTGCGTATGAATTCATCTGGATTAAATAATTAAAGTGGCTTGCCGCTTTAAATAATGAAAAATTTAAATTCAGTTTAAAACACCTATTCAACCCATCTAGGTGTTAGTTGGGTCGAACTTCATTATTTTGATTGGTATTAGAGTGTAAATTCGATTCCTAACCCATACTTAATCTAGATGAGTCAATCTCTTTCTGTGCCTCCATATTTTGACAAAAGCAATTATGCTTACAGAAAAGTGAGAATAAGAGCTTACTTAAAATTTATAGGTGAGAGAATTTGGGTATGTGTAGAAAAGGGATGGATCACCCCAACTGCATATGTTGCAAGTGTAGTTATCCCTACTGAGTTGCCAGTTGTTCTAAAAATGACTTAGATGAATGCAACTGGAATAGTAAAAGCCTTCATGCCCGATTTATGGCTGTATTCCTCGAACAATTTAGGAGAGTATCTACGTATGAAACTTCCGAAGAGGTATGATATATTTTAGAGACCACGCGTGAGGGAAACAAGACTGTTAAGAACTCCAAATTGGAGATGTTGACCACTAGGTTTGAATAAATTAGAATGAAAGATGATGAATCATTCGATGATTTTTATACGAAGTTGAATGACATAGTTAACTCTAGTTTCAACTTAGGCGAGAAAATTTTTGAAAGTAAATTTTTTGAAAAGTTTTTAGATTCTTACATGAGAGGTTTAGACCTAAGATCATAACTATTAAAGATAGCAAAGACTTAGATGCAATTATGATAGAGTAACTAGTTATTTCTCTCCAAACCTTTGATCTCATCGTATCTCAACCTAAGAACAACAAATCTATAGCCTTGAACACTTAAGGGAAGAAGAATATGAGTCTACTGATAATGAGACTTTTAGGGATGAAAATATAGCTTATTTCGTTAAGAAATTTCAAAAGTCTTTATGAATAAAAAGAAACCTCAAGAGAGATTAAGGGCTCATAGTAAGTTTAGAAAAAGACAAATGTGAGAAGACCAATTCTAGAATGTTGAGCAAGAAATCTCAGTCAGTTAGATATCATGAGTGTTAAGATTTTGGCCACTATAGGAATGAATGTTCTAGCTATAAGAAGAACTCAAATAAGGGAAATGGTAAGACAATAGCTGTGTCACGAAGAGTCTAATTCTAGTGACTAGAGTGATTTAGATAAAGATAGTGAAAATGTCAAGAATGTAGATCGTAGGGAGGGTACTGTGGTAGAATCCGAAGATGAGAGAGATATTCATAAGTCTTATGAACAACTATTACACGAGAGTC